CCTTTTGAATTCACCCTCAAGATTGCTAGACAGATGCTCTACCAATTGGACCATGCCCCTGGCCCCTTTTTCTTGTTATTTTTCAGGCAGGATCTCTTGTGGGGGGTTTTGTTGTTGTTCTTGTTTGTTTTTGCCACAACTAGTCTAAACCACTGTCCTCCGCTTACACTTCTTGCAAAGTTGGAGTGATGTGTGCATGCCATAACTCACAGTTTTATTGAGATGAGAAGTACACCAACTTTTTAACTTGTGACTGACTTCTAACAGCAATCTGCTGGATCTCTGCTTCCTGAGTAGCAGGGATTATAGACATGAGCCACTGCACCCTGCTGAGCTAGTTTCATATAAAGTAATATAGAAAAATATTTAAGATACTCTTTTACTGAAAATAAGATAAGAGGAAATATGTGTAGCCTACTATCTACTGCTTTTTTGAGACAGGATCTCACTTTTTAGCCTAGGTTGGCATTGAACTTATCATGTAGCTCAGGCTGGCCTGGAAGTCAATTCTCCTGCCATTGCTTCCAGGTGCTGAAATTACAAGTGTATACCACCACACCCAGCTGTATGGATGTTTGTTTAGTTTTTTAAAATCTGTGTGTGCTAGACTATCTCTTGAAGGACGTGTAATAAATTAGTAACAATGGTTGGATAGAGGCTGGGTGGACTTGGAAAGAAGGAGGGCAGGGTTGAGAGGAACAAGTAAATACACTAATTTTTACTGTATTTTCATATCTTTCATGAGAAAGGATAAGGCATTTTTTAAAAATAAATAATATAAAATATTTTATATACTTAAGAATTTGGAAGCTGGGTGCTGGTAGCTTGCACCTGCAGTCCTAGCTACTCAGGATCTGAGATCTGAGGATCATGGTTCAAAGCCAGCCTGGGCAGAAAAGTTTGTGAGACTTTTATCTTCTACTCAGAAAAAGCTGGAAGTAGCTCTATGGCCCAAGTGGTAGAGCCATGAGCCATGAGCAAAAGAATCTTAGGGACATAGCCCAGGCCCTGAGTTCAAGCCCTAGGACTGGCAAAAAGAAAAAGAAAAAAGAATTCTGAAGCTAGACACAGAGGAGGGTGCTCTTTGTTCCCTGAGCATAGACTAAAGGATGTGTATGAACCTGGAGCCTGGAGAATCTTGATCTGGTTCCTGAGACATATATGCTTATGGAATCCTGGTCTTCCATCATAAAAAAAATGCTAGAGTTTCTCCAAGGCCTTCTTTCTTTCTGTGGTAGAGATATGGCCATTCAGCGAGTAGATATTTGCTGAGGAAGATGTGTAAACAATTCCTGGCAGACATGGAAATATGGAGACAGGGAGAGAGCTGCTCTAGAGCTGGACAACCCCACACATCCTTTTCTGTGACCATCTGACATGCCCCGTCTTCTTGCTTCTGGGAGATTCTTGCACCCTTACCGTGCCCTCCCCCAGCCCAGTCCTTAAGCAGAGGACCCCTCTGGCATCTGCTGCTCAGATACCTCATCTGCCTTCTAGAATCTGGGTGCAGTCTCCTGAGGCACCCAGCAAACCAGCCATAGTCTCCACCTGTCTGACCCAGAGCTGCTCTTCTTGCAACCTGAAGGCTATCAGGTGTTTTCTTGGTGCCTGCTCCTCCCTGAGTGTCAGATGTCCTTCCTGGAGCCCTCCTGTCCCTAAGTCAGATGGATGGCCTATTTCCTAGATTCTAAGTCTCGCTTCTCATTTAACCCTCAAGTCCTGTGAATGGTGATAATAGCATTGGTGGTGACTATAATCTTGCTCGTCTTTGAGGAGTCTCTGTCCATCTGTCTTCAAATCACAACTGTCATTTAATCCTCACAGTAGACCTGCAGGGCAGATCTGATCTCCAGCTTTCAAATAAGTAAAATATTTGTACAAAGATTGTTTTTCCAAGCTTTTCGCTGGTGGCTCATGCCTCTAATCTAATTACTTAGTGGGGCTGAGAACAGGAAGATTGTGGTTGGAGGGCAAGCCCAGGCAGAAAAGTGTGGAAGACTCCTCAATCCATTCTTTGCCTCTCAGCCTAGCTTTGTGGGAGGTTGAGATTGAGAGTATCATGGCCAGCCTTAGGCAGAAGAGCTTGCAAGACTCTGTCTCAGCAGCAGTTGGGGTAGTGGTGTACCCCTGTGATCCCAGCCACAAGAAGCAAAAGAAAAAGGAAAAAAAAAAAAAAAGAACTCAATCTAGGCATATACCTGGCCAGGAAGCAAAAGCCTTTCTCTAACCACTTCAGGATTGAGGGCCTTGTGCAGGTTGTAGAGCGCCTGCCTGCCTACTAAGCACAAGGTCCTGGTGCCACCAAAAGAATTAATGATAATAACCAGTGCAAAAAGAGCCAAGGTATAGCTCAGCAGAGGAGTTTCTGTAAACAAGGCTCTGAGTTCAAACCCCTGGAATGCCAGGAAGGGAAAAAATCCATTTTCCAAGTACTTTCTTTTTTTTTAACTAAGTTTTTTTATTGTGAAAATACTGTACAAAGGTTAAATGAGCAAGGTAATGAGTTCATTTCTTATCCAGCATTGTTTCCCCCTACCATCCCTTTCCTCCCACCTCCTCAGCTATACCCTCCATCCCCCACCCCTCCAAATACTTTCTTAGACATTATTTAATTGCAGTCTCTGACATCCTTATATAAGCCAGGAAGGTTCATTGACTTACATATACTAACAAGGGTATTGAAGAGCCAGCTGAGAAGTAGTGGCCTTGGGGACAGGTCATATATGGTTGAATCCTGTCTTAGTGGATTCTTTATACCTAACTCCTCAGCTGTAAAATGGGAATGATAGCATCCATATCATCTATACAGCTGTTAGGATAATAACAATATTAAATGACTATGGTTCAGAGTAACTTTATGAATTCACAGTGTAATGATTTCCTATTCTGTGACCCGTTCTGTCATTTTTTTAAAAAACAAAATTTGTTTTGGAAATGTTTCACAAAAGAGAAGATAATGTAATGAGGGTAGTGTACCCATCAACTATCCAGTGAAGGCCAGCTGTATGCCTTTCCCTTACTAAGCAGCTTTCAAACTAGTGAGGTAGCTACCTAACATCCTTCAAAGAAGACTAATGGGGGTCCATAGATTTAGAGGGCTTCGTTCTAGTTCAGTCTGTCACAGTTATTATACTTAACTGTTATTTGCCTTGACCAGGAACTGTTTCAGCTTGGCTTCTGAGTCCTCCTGGCATGCCTTTGCTGTTTTGGTTTGAGATGTACTAGGCTCATGTTGTATAGGATCAAGTGCTGCTTCAAATTTGGAATCAGCCACTTGTCCAAATGTGCTGGGATGTGTCCAGATGTGCTGTGGTGGTCCTTGTGTCTAATCTGGAAAGCAGTTAGGAGATGGGTGTGTGCACATAAACGTGTGTAGTTAAAATGTGAAGTTCACACAGATGCATCCAGTTTGTATCAAGACTTCAGAATCTTTACCTAGTTCATCAATCCTGTCTCTGTGTCTCAATCAGAAAATCTCAGCAACATTATGATTCATTCATCTCACAATGAACATATAAAAGTCCTAGGTTAATAATGATATAATGCAATAGTGCCCTCAATAATATATTATTGGGAACAGTTCAACATTTCTTGGAGGTGACTAGTACCCTTCAAAATCAAACTATACTTTTTCCTATCTTTGTTGTTGTTGTTGTTGGTTGTTGCTAGAGCTGGAGCTTGAACTCAGGCCCTGAACTCAGAGCCTAGGCACTGTCCATGAGATTTTTTTTTTCCTCAAGGCTGGTGCTCTACCACTTTGAGCTACAGCTCTACCTTTAGCTTTTTGTGATTAATTGGAGATAAGAGTTTCCCAGCCTTGCCTACCTAGGTTGGCTTTAAACTGTGATCTTCAGATCTCGGCTTTACAGAGTATCTAGGATTATAGGTGTTTGGCACCTGGCTCTATCACTTTGTTTTAATTTAGTAAGCCTGGAGATCACAGCACAGATAGATAGGATAGAGATAGGATTGTGGTTTGAGGCCAGCAGGGCAAAAAAGTAAGATCCTGTCTCAAGAACAAGTTAGGAATGGTGGCATAAGCCTGTGTACCCAGCTAATTGTGAGGCAGAGATAGGAGGATTTCTGTCCAAGGCTGGCCTAGGCAAAAGTCCGAGACTCTATCTGAAAAACAAAGTAAAATCCAAGCTTCCAGATCTGGGGACAATCTTAACAAGCATAAGGGCCTATGTTCAAGCTCCAAAACTAGTCCCCCCCCCCCACCAAAAAAAAAGAGTGAAAGAAAAAAGTGTATTTACACTTATTTTGATAAATATAGACATACTCCCCTCACTAAGGTGAATATTACTGTTTCCAGCAGACACCCTGTAATGTAAAGCTTATAATTAAGTAAGATCTACTATCTGTACTGAGAAAGATTGATTGCTCCAAATAACTGGTGATGGAGCTTGAACATTTCAGATGCTAGCCCACCTCCATAGGTCTGACTGGCCCACTCTGCCGTTCTACAGATACAGAAGCTGAGACACGCATAAGCAAGTGACCCACTCCCAATGACAAAACAAGCTCAAACTTAAAATAAAGTTAAGTCTCCCTTCAGTGTGTTATGGATTTATTTTATGGCAAACTTGGTTTGCTGATCTCCTAAGGAAGTTAAGAAATTAATGAGATAATTATGGGTAAATTCTCCCATGGGTAGAGGAGAGATTCTTTGAGATTCAGCTTAACTCCTTCAGGGGAAATTAGACTGGAGCTTCAGGGCACTAAGAAATGGTTTAAGGATAAATGAAACATCACAGACCCCGCCCCAAAGATCAACACATTGAAGCGGCTTGCAGATGCTCTGAGCTTTAGACAAAGATGCTGTTTTGCTATGCAAGCGACATCTACAAATAAGATGTGAACGAAAATGGAATTTCCCTGGTGAGCAAACCAGCTGCAAACCACACAGCCTTCTCCCCCGCCTTTTCCTAGAGTAACCCTGGGGTTCTCCTTTGTGCTTGCTTTTTGACAGGTTGATTGACTTATGTGCAGTTTGGGACACTGGAGTTGTCCTTCCCTGTGCAGACTGGAGTGCGGCCTCCATTGGTGTCTCGAGGAGAAGGCTGAATGAGGCAGAGGGGGTGAGTAGACTCGGGCATGAGATGAAGGTTGGGGGTAGGGTGGACATTGGTGACCCTGACCTTTCTGTTTGATTTGAGATGGCTTTTTGTCTCTCTTTGCCTCCAAAGTCTTCCAGGGTTGTTTTCCTCCTCCTTCCTTCTTCCCAGATAGAGATGCCTTGGTTCTGCTGCAGAGCCCAAGCCCACCCTGCCAGGAGGCTAGTGACTCCTTCTTCCCCAGCAGGTGCAATCAGTCAGCATTAGTGATGCCATTGTCCCCACTGTCCACCTTAATTGAAGAGCTGAGAAACAGCTTTGTTAGTGTCCCACAGCCTGGACCTGCATAGCCTGGGATCCTCCTGAGTGACAGCCCTGGCATATGGGGGGCAGTCCACAAGCCCCTCCTCTCAGTGGGTCCTGGGCCCTGACAGATGAACGCAGTGAGCAGTGAGGCCCGTAGAACCGCAGCCACACCCTGTGTGCAAGTCTGCATTGTTCCATGTGGGTTATTATTTCCATTGCCCTTGCAGCTCCTGCTGTGTGCAGGCAGGGTGGAGGGGTGGCACCCGAAATGGCAAGAGCTGCCTTTCTCCCATAGCCACTGGCTATGGACCACACAGGCTGGTCCCAGGCAGGCTGCTGGGCTGCTCAGTCCAACCTGAATGTCTGGGCAGAGAAAGGTGTGGTGTTCTATGGATGGACTTCTTTGCTCCCTGGCAGTGTGTCTTGTTGCAGCTTCCTCTCCAGAAAGAGTTGGTAATGAAGCTGAGGAGGCAGGAGGTGGACAGAGAAGGCAGACTGGGCTGATGATGTGGTTTGGGAATCTGGACAGTCCTGAGGAGCCACGCTGAATCTTGGTTTCCTGGTTTAGACAGGAGTCAACATCTTATTGTAGAGATCAAAATGGAGAGTAGATGTCTGAAAAGCCTTGCCTGGTGCCTGGCATATAGTAGGTGTTCAGTAAATCAAGGTTATCATTTTTCATAGCAGTAGCAGCACAGATATACTTGTACCAAGTAGTCTCTGTGTGGACCTTGAAAGGGCTATGGCTTGTCACACAGGTTTTAGGGAACATTTGATAGACTGCAAGCCTTCTCAAACTAAAACTTTTGTACCTGAGCTTACAATCTGACCATGAGGGGGGATAGCATGCTGTTTGCTTTACTGTCCGTGGAAGACTCTAGTCTCTGGTCATTGTTCATGTACCCTCTCTACTCTCTATTTCTGTCCCTGAAAGTCCCCTCATGACCCTCTGGGGCACACATATGCTGGGTTGTTCAGCCAGCCCTCCAGCCCACAGAGGAGTCCCATCCACAGTTGGTCTAGCCAGCAGTCCTGAGTGTTAGCCAGATTCTCCTCGTGTGCCCTGTAGGTTCATTGTGTTTGACTGACTCTCCCTACAGTTCCTTGATAAGGCAGGCTGGCACAGGCATTCTTATTTGTAAGCTGAGGCTGCCCACCTACAGTTTACAGTTAACTAATTAGTGGAAGATTTTATTTTATTTTATTTTTTGGGGGTTCGGTCGTGGGGCCTGAACTCTGGGCCTGGGCGCTGTCCCTCAGCTCTTCAGCTCAAGGCTAGCTAGCGCTCTACCACTTGAGCCACAGCACCACTTCCGACTTTTTTCTTTTTGCTAGTGGAAGAGCCCCAACAAGAAAGCCAAAGCCCGAATTGAAGGCAGTCTGTCCTGCTGTGACGTCACACTGCCCCCTCCAGACTGAGGTATATGGACACTGTGAAGGTGGATCCTCTAGCCCTCTAGCGGAGACTGTCAGTCCCAGAAAAACCTAGAAAAGGAGAGTGTAAGCAGGGGCATATGCTTAGCTATTGAGGAAGTTCCCAGAAAAAACTAATCTAGTCCTTAGTGGGGACACTCATCATCATCTGAGTGTTACCCAGGCACCAGGCACTGATTTGTAACCACTGTGTGACCCTTTTCACAGCAACCCTATGTAGGGCCCCATATCACCCCCATTTCACTGAGAACAGAAGCCCACAGAGGCTAAGCCCTTGCCCCAAACTCCCATCTTAGAAAGTGACCGGGCCTGCATTCGAATCCCAGCACTACAGCGTTGACCCTTTGGATTGGGAGCTGCAGTGTGTTTTTAGGATGGTTTTTTCCAAGTTTCATCAGAACATTACATAAAGTTTCTGAGCCCATCTCCACCGGGTTCCAGGTATGAATTTGCCTTGTTAGGTCCAGCTGGGGATGCCGCTCCATCTGGGAAGCCTGGGATGGAGGGAGCCACCATTTCTCCATTTCTGCCTTTGTTCCTGGTCCTGGCCATCTGGAGTTGCCCCAGGCATCTGCTCTCGAGCCTCACCACCCCTCCCTGTCCCTCCCACCCAGCATGGGGCACCTTTCTGCACTTGTACTCCACCCCCAGCCCCGCCCCCACCCCTAGGGCCTCAGCTCTTTGTCAGCTCAGGTCGCTGGGAGCAGACACCTGTCCTCTGAAGCACGGCCAGGAAACCTTCAATTTCCCAAATGGGTCCATTTGGTTAATTGCACTCATACTCCTTAAGCACCTCTGCCTGTCAGTGAGAAGCTGGGCCTCTTCTCTCCAGAAGCAGCACCACAGGCCACAGCATATACACAGTGCAGGCTCAGGACAGACTGCTGCATGTCCAAGGCAGCTGGGCTGTGGCACTCATTATGGACTGTCTCTGGCTTCCCTATTTCTCTGCCCTCAAATTGATTTTCTCTCACAGAGGCAGCTCCTACCTTTAGCCATCTTGTCCTTGGGATCAGCAGGGCAGGCACGGGGATGTGTTAGCAGTGGAGAAGGCTGGTCCCCTCAGGAGCTCCCGATGTCCAGCTCCTCCTGATGAAGGCATGCTTTCTCTGCCCTTTCTGCCGACCCATGCCCTTGAGGAGGGTGGGAGTGGAGGCTGGGCTGTTAGGCTTAACACAGTATGTCACCCTGAGTTCATGTTTCTAATCAGAGGACCAAATATGGCAAAGCAAAGCCCTTAAGGACATGAAGCCCAAGCTCTGTGTATACCATGGTGCCCATGTCTAGACACCCAGCCACCAGTACTTGGCGACCCGACTTCTAGACAAATGGTACATGTTAAAACTCAGCAAAAAGCCCACCCTGTCTGTTTCCTCCCCAGCACTCTCCCCACCCCCTTTTAGTGCCTCCTGCAGCCTATAGAAGCAGCCGGCCTGCCTGACAACAGTTGGATGCTGACTGCTGTCTGTATGGCATGTAAATGAAGAAGGCATTTACAGAGGGAGATGGGAGAGGGAAGGAGGGACAGATGCCATCCCCTCCTGCTGCCTCCCTCCTTTCCCCACTTGTTATGGCCGACAGGAATTTTAAAAATGCACAGAAAGGGAGCCCAGAGGTGCCACACCTGCTCTGGGATCCTGCAGGTACCCCTCTTTCTCTCTGGCCAAAGTACAGTGCTTAGGTAGATAACCTTATATTGGCTCTAAGATAAACAGTTTCTTGGCATGAGGCCACTGCTTGGCTACCTGCACAGGTGTTGTCTGCTTTAGAGACCTTTGGAAACCCTGCTTTACCCAAAGCCATGCAGCAGAGTAGTTCACCAGTTGTAGTTAAGGGAGAAAAGCCCAGTAGATTTTGAATGCCAGGTATGTGTGTGCCTGGCCATGGGCTATATGAACCCATCAATCCATTGAACAACTACCACAGCAGCGGTGCCATGAAGAAGTCTATTTTTACATTCTTAAAGACCAAAAAACTGTAGCTGTGACAGTAAACACATGGCTGGATGGGTCTGTGGCCATACTCACCCTTATGTGCTAGGGGAATTACATGTCATTACATGTAACTGAATCTCTGAGTTCAGAGATCACATCTGGTGTGGTTCCCCTGATCCAAATCATAGTCCACCAGGTGGCTCATAGTCCACCAGGACTTAGGAAATCCTGACCTGTACCACCCTTCACCCCTGACACATTTTTATTGAGGGGCTGGAACAAAGGGGACAGCATCCCTTGCCTCATTAGTCTCATAATGAGATTTCAGGCCTGAGGTCACCTCTTTCTCCTACTCCAGTTCTCCTATAGTCTCGCTTCTTTTTCTTCTCCACCATTGTCAGCCTGTAGTTTCAGAATGTGATATGTCCAAACCAGGCTTGGAATCCCCCTAATAGGGGAGGAATGAATAGCTTACGCTGAGGGATATCCTGTGCAGAAGTATCTAGATGGATACGTCCTCAGGTGGACCATAGTAAGGACTCCAAATTGACACTTGGGGATTCACAATGCTGGACATGGGTGGCTGGACAGGTTGCCACCCATGGAAGAGAGAGAGAGACAGAGATAGTGAAACAGGGAGACAGATACACAGAGAGAGAGACAGACAGACAGACAAAGACACAGAGAGAAGGGTTGGCTATTCTAGAGCCAATTTCCTTCTGTATTTTATAACTTACAATGAGATAGCAACTACATTATTAATGACATATGACACAAGAACTAAACCCTAAGTCTTTTATTCTTTTCTTTTTTTGTTGGTCCTGGGGCTTGAACTCTGGGCCTTGGCACTGTCCCTCAGCTCTTCAGCTCAAGGCTAGTGCTCTACCACTTGAGCCACAATACCACTTCTGGTTTTCTGGTGGTTAATTGGAGATAAGAGTCTCACCGACTTTCCTTGCCCAGGCTGGCTTTGAACTGTGATCCTCAGATCTCAGTCTCCTGAGTACTAGAATTACAGGCGTGAGCCTTCGGCACCCAGCCTTATTCTTTACTTTTAAACTAACCAATATCAATGTATTGGAGTTAACAAATCTTGGGCTGGGACTGTGGCTTAGTGGTAGAGTGCTTGCCTAGCATGCATGAAGTCCTGGGTTCAATTCCTCAGTACCACATAAACAGAAAAAGCTAGAAGTATCACTGTGACTCAAGAGTGCTAGCCTTGAGCAAAAGAAGCTCAGGGACAATGCCCAAGCCCTGAGTTCAAGCCCCAGAACTGGCAAAATAATAATAATAATAAAATAAAATAAAATCTCAAAACTTAATGATTCCTCAAACTCTTATTTGCCATTT